ATGGTGAGTGTAGAGAACCGGAGACCCTTTTTACTGGAAACGAGGCATTCCATCTTAGTCCTCACGGGTGACAATGCATCTGCATTTTGATTCGTAATCGAAAATAGATGTAGATGTCTATGGGCCACAGCAACCACTTAGGTGGACTATTTGCTCGTTTGTCACACTTATTCTATATACATATATATATATTTATCATTTTACCTCAATCAGCATATTATTTTATGTATATTATCAGCAACAGCATTTTAGATGTAACGTACAGGTGGTGTCTCAACCCCGTACCTCGGAAAGCACGTAAAACCGTTCGTCCTGCGCCTGATCTCTCTTCGGCCGTGTCGGTTTACTGTCCCATCGGGCCATGAAAGTGAGGGAATAAAAAGTGCGAGTGAGAGCTTGCGCATACACTTGGGCACTTTAATCCTGTACTGCGCCTATGGCTAGTTGTCGTTGAGGCTGGTCGCCGTCGCCGGGATTCGGTCTAGAAGATATTATTACCTTTATTATCGTAGGTAATCAGACGCACTCCTAAGGCGATGAGCCCCACAACCTAGAAATATTTGGAGTGTTTTCAATTTCTGAGGAATAATGTCTAGAGTATAATAATTATTTACAAGATTTAGAAAACTTACTATTCTTCATTTGCATTATTTGTTTAAATTTTTTCTTTACAGCCTATCGACATCTACTGCTGAAAAAACGCCTGTCCCTTTCGTATCTTGAGGGCATAGAGCCAACATAATGACAGTATATGAAGCATTCCATGTTAGTACTCAGAGGGAACAACGCATAGTAGCCCTTCTTTATATGAAGTTGGCTGCAGATATTCACGGGCTGCAGTCGCCACTCACCATCAGGTAGACTGTTATATTTTAATAAAACGTATTTTATCCGCATTGGAACTAACGATATTTAACTTAAAGTTATCAGGGGCAGACAGCTTATGCATGACCGTGTGTCAGCCCACCCCGTGTGCCCATTTGGCAATTAAACACGCCTTGTCTTCTAAGATAAAAAATGTTTTAATCTTTGTAGAACATCGTTTTTAAACCTTTTTTTTTTATTGAACATTTTCGATTGTTTTAACCGATTTTTGGTTTACCGCGTAAAAGGAGGTAAATATTAAAAAGTTTATGGTGAGAAAAAAAATGTATCGAAGGCGTGTAATTATTTAATCCCTTTTAATATAATGTTGAATTGTTATGAAAATAAAACAAATACCTTTTTATATAATGGCTTAATTTCTTTTTCTTCTTTCTTTATTTTATGTACAAGAAATCGACAAAATTATGTCGATATGCCCGGTCGTTACGTCCTAAATCGCAAAAATTACATCGATACGTACGATATATACCGAGATTGATAAAATTATAAAAATACAATGTAACATTTATAAAGTACAATCAAAAACTATTGGAAAATCCAATTAAGCATGCCCTAAGCGCATTAAAAAAATTACGTATGACATGATTATACGGAATTTTTGAAAGTAGTTTAAATATACACAAGTTTTCACTAATAACCTTATTATCCATTATCTAATATCTTATATTTTATTAATGTTGAGACACATTATTTGTACGATAAATTCTTATTACAATAATTTTTAACACATTGCCATTTTTCGCCTCCGGCACATTTTTCAAAATTAATGGTCCCAAAGCTGTATTACGTCTCGTCTTCCCTATATAAAAAACTACTCTCTGGTCTCGGCATCATAAAAGGTGAAAATTAAACTCTTGAACTAAAATCTTATATTTTTTGTACAATATGTACACTATATAATAAAAAACCAATAAATTATCTTAATTAACTTCCCTAGTATTTTTTTCCAACTTTTTATGTAATATCCTTGTAATATTTTGATGAAAATTTAAGCTAAACAAAATTATATTAAACTGACGCTCTTCGTTTAAATCAATACGAACCAATATTTCAGCCAATAGCGTAACAATATACATATAGCGTCCATAGTAGGTAGGTACATAAAATTAACATCAGCCACTAATGAAATCAGCCAATTATTACATCTATGTGTTAAAAATATCATATTCATATATGTCACATATCATATCACAGTTTAATAATAATAACACTTAAAAAGATTTATCGGCAAACAATTTATTTAATATGATAATTTTCAACCACAATTTGAGCATAAAATATTCGATATAAGTTTGATTTTATAGAAAATATTTGTTACAATCCCCATTTTTTAAACATGTAAAGCCTAAATTTTATTTTAATAAATCAAAACAATAAACGTATTGAGGTTTTTTAAAAAATGTTTTCTTTCGAATAAAGAAAATGGCTTTGTAAACCGCCATCTACTCCATTTCATTCAGTCATTTTATCGAACGAAAATTGATCTATTCTCACGGTGATACGTAAGGAAGACGCTAGATGGCATAAAGAAATACGGCTAATATAAATTAGTAACATCGTGGATTGGTTTGACTGGACTGTAATATGATAATTTTATTCTCTATTTTTCAATCTAGTCTCAGAACTCTGGATTTGAGACACGCGGTTCGCCACAAAGACCTCAAGATTGTGAGGTGCAGCTCGGAGCCAACAAAGTACTATCTCACTTTCCGACCATGCGTAGACGCCCGTAATGTCGATTACAGGCTTCAAGGAAGAGTGAACGTGGTTGAGGAGTCGCGTGAGGAGCGCGGCACCGGACAGTTGCAATTTAGGGATAGTTAAGCGGGACCTAATGCGAGCAACCTTGATTTTAGCGAGTACGAGATGGACGGCAGTATGACCAGAGGAACTCACCGTCCGCAAATATACGAAAGCAACATAGCCCTTCTCAGAGGCGTCGCAAAACCCATGTAGGGTAGCCCGGCATTTCCCGGGGGGAAGGAAGCACCTTGGCATGGAAACCCGGTTGATGTCCGTAAGGGAGAAGAGCATGGAGAGCCACTCTCGCAAGAGGACTCCACTAATAGGCTCGTCCCAACACAACCCGGACATCCAGAGCTTTTGAAGAAAGCACTTAGCTAAAAAGATGACCGGGGTAATCCACCCATTAGGGTCGAAGGTGCGGGACAGCACGGAGCGTTTGGTCCATGCTTTGGGCGGTGGGTCAAGTTTTACTCTATACGTAAAGGTGTCCTGAACAGGCTGATATTGAATGCCCAGCACAGTCAACAAATTAGGATTCTCAGGGTGCTTGAACAGATGAGGGTCTTGTTAATCCTCTCCTGGGAGGTCCTTCAAAATATGAGGGGAGTTCGACAACCACTTGCGCAACTCATAGCCTCCGGACTTCAGGATGGCAATTAATTCGTCTCGCGAGACCAGAGCCTCCTCGACGGTGGAAGCGCCCGTACAAATGTCGTCCATGTAGACCGAAGTCTCCCCGAGCGTATCTCAGGCGCTCTCTCTGAGCGAGTTCAAGGAGGGTTCGCATGGCGATATACGGGCTGGACCGGAGTCCGTATGTGGTGGTGTTCAACTCAAACACCTGTATAGGATCGCTGGGCTTCTCACGCCACAATATCAGCTGATATCGGCGGTTATCACGATGGACCACTGATTGGCGAAACATCATCCGAATGTCCGCGACAAAAACCACTTGGTGTCGACGGAATTGGAAAAAAAGATATGTCCTTGATCAGTTTAGGACCCGAGTGAAGACACTGGCTCAGAGACACACCATTTGATGTGGGGACGGAACCGTCAAAAACTACCCGAATCTTACTCTCAGGGGTCCTCAAGACCGCATGGTGAGGGAGGAAGTAGTGCTCCTGTGAACGCTATTCGAAGTTGGACGGTGACATGTGACCCAGCTCCTGATACTCGCGTATGAACTCGACATATTTGTCGCGAAAGGCTGGGTCGCGCCGCATGCGGCGCTCCATGGAAAGTAACCTCTTCTCGGCCAGAGCACGAGATTGACCCAAAGAGGGACGTGAGTCCAGAAAGGGTAAGCGAGTGACGAAACGACCGTCAAACCGCCGGCCGGTATTGTTCTGGTAGAACAACTCACACTCACGGTCCAGAGGGTCGACTCGAGCTGCATGTGGTGGTTCCTCAATTTCCCAGAACCGCTGGACGGCGTCCGATAGGGACACGCCCACGACGGAGAGCGGGTTGGCCGTCGGAGGGGGAGGAGACCACATAACCGGTCCAAAGAAGCTGTGCCCAAATATCGTGGAAATGGCTGACAGGCCATCGGGCTGTAGAGCTAGTATCTCACCTAACAAGAGGACCCCCAGCGTGTCGGCCCCCAGTAACAAATCTATAGGCCCAGGTTGAGCCCACCGAGGGTCTGCCGGTCTCAAAGCCGACGCACAGCGAACCGCGCTGTCATTTATATGAACGTTAGGGAGAAACCCTACAATGTCGTCGAGGACATTTACCTTGACTAAAATGCGAAGGTGTTCGCTGGCAGGGCTGAACACCAACTCCGCTTGTCCCCTAGGAGCAGGAGGCTCGGCACCTCCGATACCTACCATCGGACGTGATTCAGAGCTCCAGGGGAGCCCCAGTCTTCCCACCAACCAAGTAGAGGCCACACTACATTGGGAACCCGAATCCAATAGAGCTCGAACCGTTAAGCGGTCGCCGCTCGGGTTGTACAACTTCACTGAGGCCTTCGGCAATAGAACAGTTTGACAGGTGGACTGCTGACGGCTTAAAGGCTCAGTGGAGGCGGCCATGGCGGGAGCTAGGGCGGCAGCCTCCTATCTGAAGCTGCCTCTGTCGGACCGGCACCCGAACCGTGGGCCCCGAGAGCGGCACTCCGACGGCGTCCCAATGACCCTTGAATACTTTTTAATTCGAGGAGAAAAATAAAACTTCTTGATGCAGATATTATCGCCGTGTACTTTCAATTGACAAAAAAAAATTGGCGGTGGTTACAACTTAAAAACAACAAAGAAAAAAAGAAATAAGTAAAACGTATGTAACGCAACTTCGTGCGTAACAAAAAACCACAGGCGTTTTCGTAGACATGCCCCCCGGCGTTGAAAGCTTGTCTTTCAACAAAATTAGCCTTCCTTGTTGTTAGGTAAAGGGCAGATTTTGCAGAAAGGTCTTCGGACGATTCCGGTGGCAGTTCTGATATCGGCAACGCGGTTGATGCCGTCGGCTCCGGGATGAAAGGCTGTAATTCGACCCAGTCGCCATTTGAGCGGCGGTAAATTGTCTTCCTTCAGAACTACAAGATCACCCGTCCCTAAAGTGTCAGCATTGGAACGCCATTTTGATCTCTGCTGGAGTTCTGAGAGATATTCCTTGCTCCATCTTCTCCAAAAATGTTGACGAAGTTGTTGGATGCGTTGGTATCGACTCAGTCTACTGCTAGGGACTTCTTCATAATTTTGAGAAGGAAGAGAGGTGATGGGGCGGCCGATGAGGAAATGTCCCGGGGTTAATGGCAGTAAGTCATCAGGATCCGTGGAGAGAGGTGTCAGCGGACGAGAGTTCAGTACACCTTCAATTTGAACCAGCACAGTGTTTAATTCCTCGTATGTAAGGTTACCTAATGTTACAATTACCTAATATTCTCCGTAAATGATATTTTATTGACTTAACGCCTGCTTCCCAAAGACCGCCAAAGTGAGGGGCTTGCGGAGGAATGAAATGGAAATTTATATTTTCCTGAGCCAAATTCTCGGACAGTGAATTGCAATTGTCTTTTATAAAACGACCGATTTCGTTGTATGCGCCTACGAATGAAGTTCCGTTGTCGGAGTATATGTGTTTAGGTTTTCCGCGACGTGAAATGAATCGACGAAGTGCTGATAAGTAATTATTACTTGTTAGATCGCCTGTTAACTCCAGGTGTACAGCCTTTGTCGCAAAACAAACGAAGATGAGAATATACACTTTCGTAAGCTTGCAACCACGGCCTTGACGACTGGCGGACATAATAGGTCCAGCATAATCGACGCCAACGCTCTCGAAGGGAAAACCGCCGGGAGTCACTCGACCCTGAGGCAGATTGCCCATAAGTGGATTTATAACCCTTCCCTTATAACGACAACATAAGTAACATTGTCGATAACAATATTTAGCTAACTTGAGGCCTCCGATGGGCCAATACATTTCTCTAATTGAAGCTAATAGTAAATGAGGACCGGCGTGTAAAAGCTTGACATGCATATACTTAAACAATAATTTGGTAAAACGATTAGTGGACTGTAACATAATCGGATGTTTCTTTTCATAAGTAAATAATGCATTTCCTAAACGACCACCGACACGCATTATTTTATTTTCGTCTAGGAAAGGATTAAATTTCAAAATAGTACATTTTGAAGGCAATTTTTTGTTATTATGTAAGGTCACATATTCCTCGAATGACTCAATTTGTGACAATCTAATTAAAGTATTTAAAGAATTATGTAGTTCGTCGTTACTTAAAAATTTACTTTGTACCGGTTTCTTTTTACAAATATTAATAAATCTTAACACGTAGGCCATAGAACGTTGTAATCTTATAAAATTAGAGAATCTCTCAAAGTCAATTAAAGGTTTTTTCTGATCGGTAACAACTAAAGAAATCTCTGAGCGAGTTTCTGGTAGCTTATCACTTACAATAGGGTTAACAGGCCAACTAGACATGTCCCCTTTAAAAACTGTGGACCAGACCACCATAAGTCAAGATTATGAATTTGATTTATGTTCGTACCGCGGGAAACATAGTCTGCCGGATTGAGATCAGTGGGAACATATCGCCCAGTAAATGAACCTGATTTTTTCCAAAATTTCGGCAACTCGATTACGAACAAAAGGTTGTAATTTGTTAGGTAGCATTTTTAACCAACCTAAAACGATTGTCGAATCTGACCAAAAAATTACTGATCTTACTTGGATTCGAAGCGAACTTATCACCTTCTCATAGAGACGGACACCGACAAGTGCAGCGCAGAGCTCAAGCCGTGGTATTGTAGTCGGCCTTATGGGAGCTACGCGACTTTTGGCTGAAAGTAAACGCACCATCACATTATTTTTATTATTAGAACTACGGACATACAGACATGCTCCGTAAGCCACTTGAGATGCGTCACTAAAAATATGTAAGTCTACATTAATATATTGATTGCAGATAACACTGCGTGGAATTCTTAAATTGTTTAAAAATGATAAGTTTTCTACAATTGGAAGCCATAATTTAATTATTTCCGAAGGCAACTGTTCGTCCCATGTAAGTTTAAGTAACCATAATTTTTGCATTAAAATTTTCATAGAAATTATGCATGGGATCAGAAGACCCAGTGGATCAAAGATTTGTGAAATAACCGAGAGTAATCCACGTTTTGTAAAATTATTTAAAACGATTTCACTCGTCAAAAAATACAGTTCATCAGACTCGACTTGCCAGCTGAGACCTAATGTTTTACAGGGTTCCGTAGAACCAATATTTAAGTCGAGAGATGAATTGTTATTATTTAGTATTACTCGAGGTTCATTTGATTTCCACTTACGGAGGTTCATACCAGCTGTGGCCAGTTCAGAAGACACCTTGTTATGTATGTCCAGCGCATCTTGAATGCTGTCCCCTCCAGTTAATAGGTCATCGACGTAGAAGTCGTGGATTATTATTTCGGAGATTTTATCGTCCTTGCAATCCATACCAATCTGCTTAAGACATCTGGTGGCGAGATAGGGTGCGCTGGCTGTGCCATACGTAACGGTGTTTAACTGGTACGCTTTCATGGGCTCTGATGGATCATTTCTCCAAACTATTTGTTGGAGAGGTCTGTCATCAGGATGTACGACGATCTGTCTATACATCTTTCCTACGTCTGCTGATAGCACGTACTTATGTTGTCGGAATCTAAGTAGTATAGATAGCAGATCATCCTGTACAGTGGGCCCCACTAATTGCAAATTATTATATGAAATACCGGAAGTAGTCGGACTGCTCGCATTGAAAACAACTCTGAGCTTAGTCGTTAAGCTGCTTTCGCGAATCACTCCATGGTGTGGTATAAAATATGCTAACCTCCGTGGATCAAATGAACATTCAGACATGTGTCCTAGTGTTAGATACTCTGACATGAATTGAGTATAATTATTTTTAAATTTGGGTTGACCCTTAAACCTACGCTCAAGAGAAAGGAGGCAAAGCTTGGCGCGTTGTAGGGAACCGCCTAAATTATCACGTGATTGTTTCAGTGGTATTCTCACACAGAAACGACCGTCTTGTAGACGAGTTGTATTTTTAATAAAATGTTCTTCGCACATTTTCTCCTCCGCGGAGAGAACTGATGTATCATGGCAAACCTCCTCTAGGTGCCAAAAACGCGTCAATAGGTTTTGAATATCATCGTTATTATCATTGTGCGAAGAGACGTTTTATCTCAAATTTAGTTTTACTAAAAACGACTTAGTGTTAGAAATCGAATACGGTACTTGGCCATTATTAATTAAGGGGCCTGAGACTAGCCATCCTAACCTAGATTCAATGAGTACCGGCTTTCCGTTTCCTAAACTAATTTTACGTACCCCTAATAGGTCCCAAAAAACATCCGCACCAATAATTAAATCCACCGACGATGGCGTGTGGAAGCGGGGATCTGCTAAACAGAGGTTACTAGGTATGTTAATGTCGTTTAAAGGTATTTCCTGACTCGGTACTTCGTCCGTTATATGAGGCAAAACGAAACAGAAAAGATTAGTATTAAAGTTTTCGTTCAAAGACTTTATAGGCACGCAACACATTTTGCCTATGTGAGACTTAGAGTTATTAATTCCTAATAAAGATTCGTTAACATTAACTATCGGTAACTCTAATAATTTACTCAATCTTTCCGTAATTAGGCAAAAAGTGCTACCGCTGTCTAGAATAGCGCGAGCTAAGTATTCCTTATTATTGTGACCGTATATTTTTATAAGGGAAGTGGCTAAAAGTACCTGATTTTTATTTCGTAGGTAGGTCGATACTTGCGCAGACAAAGTGATATTATTATTACCGATATGCTCATCTTCGCACGATGTACCAGGGAGAGATAGTGGACCGTCCTCAGGGCGAGAAGATAAATTGGGAGTTGTCTTGAGCTTCATATCTGAAACGTGAATCAAAGTATTGTGCTTTCTTTTACACACTTTACAGCCACTCGACTTACAACGGTTTGCAAAATGACCAAAACGTAAACAATTATAACAAACCTTAAACTGCGGTAATAATTCTAATCGTTGTTCAGAACTAAGCCCTAGAAATTTTGAACAATTGTTTAGACTGTGCTCAGCCTTACAGTTAGGGCAAAGTTTGAACTGAGACATTTCGCTTTTCTCATTTAACCGATTTTGGGTCTTAGTGACTGACACCATGCTTTTAATTTTATTTTTATTTTGGTTAATTTGAGGATTGCGAGACAGTTCCAAAGTTTCTAATAGATCTGCACGATTTTGTATAAATGATAAAAATGACGCAAATGAAATAATTTTGTTATTATCCAAGTGAACTTTGTACTCTTCCCATTCCCGGTATGTCTTACTATCGAATTTGTGAGTAATAATGTGGATGAGTAAGGTGTTCCAGTGATGTATGGGCTCACCTAATGACTCAAGTGCACGTAGATTTTTACTCACGGAGTCTATCATGCGCTTTAAAATGAATGACGATTCCTTAGTAATTACCTCAATGTTAAATAATGCCGTTACATGGTTTTGAATTAAAATACGTTTATTATTAAAACGTCCGCATAATAAATTCCAAGCCACCGAATAATTACTCGCCGAAAATTCAATAGATTGTATTACGACGGCGGCTGTCCCTTCGAGCGACGCGCGAAGATAATGAAACTTGTTGATATCATCGATATCATCATTTGAGTGTATTAAGCTAGAAAAAGTATCGTGAAACTCAAGCCAGTTGTCATACGACCCGCTAAATTTCGGAAGCTGAATAGTAGGCAATTTAACAAGCTTATTATTGTTAATACGTGAAAAATCTTTTTCACTGCCTAAACATTCAAGATTATTTTTATTTTGTCGAATAAGTTCGTGAGCTTTCGAAAGAATTTTATAATACGTCGATTCGAAATCATTCCGCTCGTTTATTTGACTATTGATATCGTCCACTATACACTCCAATTTCAATTGAACCTCATCGTACTGTTCGTATAATAATTCAATTTTACTTACGCGCAATTGCAGTTCGCTAATCTGAGACGAGCTCAATGTATCCTTTAATTCACTGAGATAATTATTGAATGCCGTTAATCGACCTTTGTAACTTGCCCTTTTTTTAATTAATTGCCTTTCATCGGTCATTTTGAGATACAGTCGAAAATTATAATAATATCTGGAAATTGAACAATTATTGAGAAATTATCACTAAATATAACGAAAATAAAAAATAAAAACACTGCACTGGTTATTTCCTTTTGTTTTCTTCAAAATTTCTTTGTCTCCGTCTTCAAGGTGACCCCGGACGTTCCAAGTTGTATATACTTGTTGTAAATCTCTAATTACGTAGATATTCAGTAGATTATAATTTCTCGATGAAAATCCTCAATAGCCGCTAGAATCCGGCTCGAAGCTGACCATGAATACTTTTTAATTCGAGGAGAAAAATAAAACTTCTTGATGCAGATATTATCGCCGTGTACTTTCAATTGACAAAAAAAAATTGGCGGTGGTTACAACTTAAAAACAACAAAGAAAAAAAGAAATAAGTAAAACGTATGTAACGCAACTTCGTGCGTAACAAAAAACCACAGGCGTTTTCGTAGACAACCCTCGACTGGAATTCCCCGAACGGGCCGACCTGGGGAAACTCGGGTATCCTCGGCTCCAACGCCCGGGGCCGATACGCAGTCTCCGGAACCCGGTAGTACCGGCACCGACCAAAGGGGGGCGGGCGGCGTTCCAGTCGCGGCCACTCAGCCAACGGGGGTGAGAATGGTCTAGCTGACCGCTGAGTGGCTGCGAATCCACTATCAACCCAATGAGGGGGGGTGAAGACCCCCCCGCCCCTGGGGGAGCGACTCCCCGACCGA